AATTAAAAGACTATGTACATTTCTTCTCAGAAGTGGAAAAGGATCAAAGAACAAGAGCAGGGATATCAATTTAATACCCAACCATATACGTAGGCGATTTTAATGGTCCCATGAGATGTGGTAGTACTCTGACAATGACAAAAATTGCTCGTCCCATTTGGAGTAGTTAGAAGAATATATTATTAATCTCTCATTCAATGCCAATGGATATATACACTTTATAGATTTACAGCTTAGAAGAAGTATAACCTCGATCTGTGTTTTCTTACTACTAACGACAAAGGCCAAAATAAACCAGCATCAAGGAAAGTCATCTCCGATTTCTATCATAAACCGCCTTATTCTGATTAAGATAGATACTAGCATTCCAGTTATAAGATCGTTTCCACGCTCCAGATGGAACTTCAGAAAAACTAACTGGTTTGCTTTCTGTAGTAATATCGACAAATGCTTGGATTGGATTTTACCAAAAACGTAGACAACGAGAGATTGACGGGACCAGGGACGGGTCTGCAGCAAAAGTAGAAATTCCTTTATTTCTGGATGGTATTAATAGAGCGATTAACTGTATAGAAATTTATGTGGAGATGGAAAACAGAAAATTGAAGACAAATTACTTTACATAATTATTACCGCTATGCGGGAGAAATGAAATGAGAAACTTGAAAAGTTAGATTTAAAAAATTTAAGCCTGGTTGCTGTTCAATGTTTACTTTGAGAAGATATTTCAGAAAGCTTTGGAAGGCACCTCGGATGGTATAATTATAAACGGGCAATGTATAAATAAATTGCGGTATGCTGATGACACTGTCATATTGGCAGATAATGCTGAAGCCCTGCAACGCTTAATGGACCGAGTAACGACAGCCTGTAGAGAATTTGGAATAAAACTGAATACAAAGAAGAAAAAAACGATGGTCATCAGCAAGCACCAAAACAGAAGGGTGAAGGTCAATGTCGACGGAACAGATCTGGAAACAGTAACAAGAACAATGTACCTTGGAAGTAATCTTGATGAAACTTGGGACCACTCACTAGAGATTAGAATACGCCTGGAAAAGGCACGTACAATGTTTTACAAAATGCAAAAAGTTATATGCAACCGCCAGCTTGGCATCTCATTGAGAACTAGAATACTTAAGTGCTATGTTCTCTCCAACTTGCTCGATGGTGTTGAAGCCTGGACAATGACAGAAGCAACACAAAAAAGAATCCAAGCATTCGAATTCTGGTGTTACCGTAAAATGCTCAGAATATCCTACATTAGCCATACGACAAGTGCGGAAGTCTTGCGGAGGATGAATAAGAAAAGAGAGCTTATGCTTATAATAAAAGAACGGAAAACACAATATTTTGGTCACATCATAAGAAATCAAAAGTATGAACTGCTTCAACTTATAATCGAAGGCAATGTCAATAGCAAAAGAGGACTAGGAAGAAGACGCAACTCTTGGTTTAAAAACCTACGGCAATGGACGAACATGACCTCCATAGAACTATTCAGGGCTGCTACAAATAAGAGTAAATGGGCAAATGTAATGGCCAACGTTCTTAAGGATAAGTTACCGTAAGAAGAAGAAGCCTGGTTACTGTTACTTACTCAATCATCCAATCAATCTAGTAATACCAAACCAAATAACGTCCCATATAATGCCTACCACAAGAGCACCCCAAAATTGCTTACGCATAATTAAAGTTTAAAAAAGACCTTAAGGCTTTAAAATCCACTTGTCTACTTAATACATAGTATTCCAATCCTTTCATCTGTGAAGAAATCACATAAGTTATTAATTAAATAGAAACAGGAAAAGACCCTGGCTTTGGTGGCAATTATGCTTAGTACCAGATTTACTACGCACTGGCTTTTAATGATCTTCTCAAACAGTCATCATATAGAAAATATTCTCCATTAACTCAGTACAAAAATCTTCGCAATTTTAAAACCAGTTAAAGCTAACGATTAAAGTATGGTTTGCCAACAATTTGGAAAAAATTGCTAAAAAATAAAACTTGCCAAACAGTACTCCAATATATACCTCCGAAACAAGCAGTATTTCGATCAAAGCTCAGCTGCATAGACTCAGTCCTAGCACTAAGTCTAGAAACGGGCTAGGTAACTCACTAAAAATGTCTACTGTTTTCATTAATTTATCAGAAGCGTACGTAACCGTGTACATTAAGGGGTAATCTATAAACTAATAAGAGCGATTATATGCAGAAAGATCACTGATCTCAATAAGTGATAAGACTATAGTAAAATTCATTAAGCGATGCAGAAAGATGTAAACATTAAATCGTATCCGAACCGGTATGAGCTGCCGACAACGTCGGCAGACGAAATAAAGATGGACATTTCGGTTAATTTTTAAATATTTGTGAAGAACTGTTACTTGCATTTATGCATAAAATATTCATTAATTTTATAAATCGGATTATTTTTTCACTTACTATGTATTCAGTGATAACATTAATTTATTTACTATGCGATATACACGAATATGTAGGAAAAGAAAAAATTTACTAAAGTGTTATAATTATACTGTTATTTGTCGGAATTAATAGAATCATTTGGAACATCTTTAACAATTATCTGTTAAATTTATCGTTGTTTATATGCCCTGCATCGCTTAATGAAATAAGGTATAGTACCCAAATGAAACTAAACAATGGCCTTCAACAAGGATCGATGCTGGTCCCCCTATACTTTAAACTTTATACAGCAGACATGCCCGAAACCCTATCAGAGAAGTATGGATATGCAGACGACGTGGCGCTTGCTACGAACCACAAATAATTGGAAACTGCTGAGCAAATATTAACAAATAACCTGGTTACTCTGGGAAGATATTTCGGCTTCTAGATATTTTAACCCAATGTTACCAATACAAAAGTATCGTTTTTTTTTATTTGGATTCTGTTTTTAAAAATCAACTTTGAAGACAGGATTCTAAGCCACACTAAATATCAAAAGTGTGACACAGCTTAGCTTTAAAAAACATCTTACAAAGATGACTACAAAACTTTTTTCTTCTTACAGTGCCTTATCCTTAAGGACGTTGGCCATTACATTTGCCCATTTAATCTTATTTGTAGCAGCCCTGAATAGTTCTATGGAGGTCATGTTCGTCCATTGCCGTAGGTTTTTAAGCCAAGAGTTGCGTCTTCTTCCTGGTCCTCTTTTGCTATTGACTTGGCCTTCGATTATAAGTTGGAGCAGTTCATACTTTTGATTTCTTATGATGTGACCAAAATATTGTGTTTTCCCTTCTTTTATTATAAGTGTTCAATTTTCTCACATGCGAAAAATCATGTCATTTTTTCGCTGTATTATTAACTATCCTTATATCACAATTTTACAATTATTATTCTAGTCCAACCCTTAATAACCCTTCCTACTTACAGTTCAACCCCCTCTCTTAAGAAATACAGACAGTTTCAAGATAGCAAAGAAGAAAGACACTCTCTTGATGGTCGCCCGTCGCTAAGGACAGACCATTCTCACTCTCTTAGTTTGGCCATCGCTAGGGCCAGACGTAATCTCTCTTTCATTCTCTCTCACTCTTCGCTTATCAAGAAGAACAGCATCTATCTTGGCTGTTTTTCTATCGTAATTACCTCTTTCCCGCTTTAGTTACGCGAGAAATATCGAAAATACTGTATTAAATCGTGTGCAGACAAAGTGTGCTCTATATCGTGATATATTTGCGAAACACGTGTTCAGAAACCGGTGCATCGGACAAATTTCGCGGGTGAAGAATAACCACGAGTGAAGACCGGAAACAACCGTGAGAGCGTGGAGCAGAAAAAATATTGGTAAGACTTTCTATAAACTTAATTTGCTATTGTCTGTATACCTTTTACTACTTATCCAAATTTTATTGAACCAGCCCTATATAATACAGTTCACATACATGAAAATTATACTAATAATTTCCTACATATGTACACCCTTTTTGTACAATAAGCATAAGATCTCTTTCCTTATTCATCCTCCGCAAGACTTCCACATTTGTCGTATGGCTCATGTACTATATTTTGAGCATTTTACGGGAAAAAAACTTTGAACGCGAAATATTATTCCGCAAAAGTTATAGTAACATGGATTCCCAACGACTACACTTAGACAGACAGCATTGGGACTCGTGCATTCCATTGCGTAGTGCTGTATACCGGTGTGGCTCAACAGCCTGAAAACCAAACGTGTTGACGCTGGTCCACATAGCTCCCTGATACTACCTCCGAGAAGATGCACTTGTCAGAGAAAAGAGAAAAAACAACGCCTATCCAGTGTTCCGATCCCACGTTAGTATCACCGGGAGAGACATAAGTAGGCTTCACTTAAGGAACAGCCCTCTAGACTCTGCAAGAATTCTAATTGAAAGAAACTTTAAGATAACCGACCGTTTTTAAGAATAATGGGAAAAGAGTACACCACCTGCCACTCGGAATATGCCATGTATTATAAACAAGTCCACAAGATTTCTAACAACCAAGACGAATTTGGACCACACTGAATAAAATAAGAACAAACTGTCAGCTGTTCCGACTTACTTTTCAGGTGGGGAAAAATACCGTCTCCAAATTGTGATTGTGTAGCTACATGTGGAAAAAAATAATTATTGTTATTTACTGTTTGTAATTAATCTTTCTCTTTATTTATCCACAAAACTGAATTGTGATGTAGCCATACGCTAATTAAAAAAGTAAAATTACATGGTGCCACGGTATTTCACTTGGATACTTACAATAGAAATGGAATTTACCACAACTGTTAAATTGAAAATCATTTCTATGCTGATTAAAAATTTCCTAAACAATGTTATAAATTAATAACTAAAAAGTACAAGGTTACACATATTTTTTTATCTTTTTATCCAACTTAAAACTATCAAAACATTCACGATATCAGTTTACCAGACAATCTGTATATAGTACAGGCGTACAAAGCGATAATAAGCGGGTATATTACTTAAAAGCAATTGAATTATTTCACATTAAGTAATTGAGAGGAAGATAGTAAGATTATCAAACCACTTAAGCGTAGCAAGGTTATTAACAAACAGTTACTTTTAGTTCCCTATAAGCACAATGGCAGAAGAAAATTTACGGGAATTTATAAGGGAAATATTTTCCAAAGACTATGAAGTAACCAAAGAATCTATAACATCGTTAACCAAACCCGGTGATAATTTTTTAAGTATTATGTTAAAAGTTGAAGTGATATTGAAAAAGCGTGATGATGGTTGCGAAAAAAAGTTAAATGCTGTAGCTAAATGTGTCAAAAACTCTAATGAATTCGTCAAAAGTTTATTTCCTACTGCTTTCAAGAATGAAATAAGATTTTACAAAGAAATAGTTCCAACGCTTCAAAATTTTCAGCAGGAGAGAGGGATAGAAGATGTTCTTGATATGTTTCCAGAGTTTTATGGTGCTAGAATTAATAATAACGGAAGTGATAAAGTCGACGATAAGGCAGTTATTCTTTTGGAGGATTTAAAATTCGATGGTAAGTTTGTGTTTATTTTAACTTTACTACTAATGCTGACTAATTCCAGCGGTGCGTTATCAGTTTACGTGATTTATAAAACATAATTTTATGTAGTGTATAGTTCGGAGGCTTGTCGAGTATTTCGTTATACATGGTGGATTAAACAATATGAATGATCTTAACTTTGCCATCGCTTACATCAACTGTTTATACATAAGAGGTCATTCCTATAGATTTTTTTAACATTTTTTTTAACACGTTGCCTGCCATCTCGGTCAATGTGACCGAGACAGTTTATTGCATCCCAGATGCCAATGTCTCGATTTAGAGTACGTTTAGAAATATGAACTGACCAAGTTGGCATAGAAAAAGTGTTGTGACATTCCAGTTTTTGACTCAAACTTTTTATCGATGAGAAAATAAAAACGTAAAAATCAATGACAAATTAGAAGCAGGCCCGTTCCTAGGGTAGTGAGCGCCTGCGTGCAGGATTTTTTGTGCGCCCCCATATTATGTTTTTAAGATACCTATATCATAACATGTTCTTGTGATATGATTGAAAATATGATATGAATGTAAAAAGAAAAATAAAACGAATCATGTTTGAAAAAAGGTTTTATTTTTAAAATTAAATGAAGAAAAAGGTCATTTTAAAACAATATTATTATGTAAGTTAACAGTAAGAAAGAAAACACTCAATTCGCAAATTAATAAGGCATTCTGGAATATAACATGAAACAATAACGGAAAGGAGATACTCTCAATGCAAAAAAACTTTTGTTTACCAAGTGAAATATAAAACAAATATTGGAATTACAACATGACACGTCGTGCTTTCACAGATGCAAACTCATTAATCATTTCATTGTGATCAATTGCTTCACAAATTTTATTTTCAATTGAAATGACTGCCAAATCTGATAGCCTTTCTTGGCACATTGACGTTCTTAAATAATTTTTTATTAGCTTTAGCTTTGAAAAACTCCTTTCGCCAGATGCCACTGAAATTGGAAGGGTCAGGAATATTCTCAAGGCTATAAATAGATTTGGAAATAAGAATTGTAAATTTTTCTTTGTTATATAATTTAAAATATCTATGGGCGAATCCGAAATTTTGCCAGAGTCTGTGAATGGGTTAAGAACTTTGTATGACAGAATTTCATTAGGCAAATCAAGACCATCAATATCTTTGCATACGTTTCCTGCATGTTGAATTTGTAAAGCAAAATCCAAATCCATACATGATCTTTTAATCACATCAGAATCTAGATTTTGAAAATTACCCAAAAGTCCAAATAAATCGTGTAACTTATCTATTCCCCCAAAGCGTCTTTGTAGGGATTGAATTGTGTCCAAAATTTGAAAATAAAAACTGATCTTAAATTTTTGTTTTGGATCGAATACTGTTTCATCTGTACCTTCATACGAACATTAAAGCTTCGTCTTTCTTTGTGTTAATAATGGAAATGTTTGCTCTACATCACTTTTTTCTGTTTCTGCTACAGCCTCATTCATGAAAATCTCGAAATGTTTGTCTAACCTTTTTTCAGTGAAATAAATAATAAGATTTTTTATTTCTGTGTGGCATTCATTTTAAAGTTGTATTTGGATTCTGGACCATTTTACTTAATATATTAATTTTTGTTAACACATCATGCCAAATTATAATAGAAAAAATGAATTTGAACGTTTTAGTTTTGTCTAATAGTGACCTTGCTGAATGTTTCGTGTTCATATCTCTTGAATTATCTTCCACCAAATCATGTAAATTTTTCCACATTTCGAGGAATTGAAGACTAAGAGGGCGAATTGCTTTGCCTCTGCTTTCTCATCGTGTTTCACTTACTGATTTTAAAGTTAAGTTTGGTACATTCCTTTTTAAAATGTCCCATCTGTAGGGTGAATAATTGAAAAAAAGAAAAAAAATTGAACAACTCCTGAATAATTGAAAAAAAACCTGCAGTTTCACATGAAATTTTAGCTGCATCATTGACACTTAAATTAAAAGTGTGAGCTGAACAAGGCAAAAACATTGCTCTGGGATTAATTTTTAGAATCTGAGCTTGAAGGCCCACATGCTTACCAGACATATTTGCCCCATTGTCGTAACCCTGACCTCTCATGTTATCAAGGTTTATTTCAAATTTTGATAATATTTCTTCTTTTAAAAAATGGAAAAGCCCTTCTCCTGTAGTATTTAAAACTTTTCATATGGAGAACAATAAACGAAGCGAATTATGACCGTCAGCTGCTCAACATCGCTACAACTGGAGATTAATCCAAAGATCTGAAAATCAGAACAGTCACAAAAGGGGAACTTTCCAACTCTCAAAAATGTCATAAGTGATGTTTTACGTATATGGTTGTAAATAATAGTATATTATATACATTCACAATATATAATATTATACACTGAGTTGAAGTGTTTAATTCTTAACAAGAGAAAAACATGGTTTACCGAGGCGTATAGCGTCGAGACATGAATGAAATTTTTTCACCGAGGTTTGTATAGGTACTGTTTTATTCAGAACCATATCTTTTAAATGCAAATTAAAAAAAAATCCAATAAAATTTAAACAAACATTTTGGTTATTCGTAGGATGTTAAAATTTACCTGGGTGGAAAATTATTGTCATACACTTTTCATCCGGGTAAATGTCACTTTCCTCCTGGATAGATTTTAAAACTAGAAATTTGGTTTTTCAAACTTTTATAAAAGGTCTTCAATGTCAACATAACATACATGGTTGTAAATAAACATTGATACTTAACTGACCCGAAGAATAATTTTAAGGTTCTTAAACTGTTAAATTTTACTACTTTACTTTACTTTTTATTTTATTTAAATAAATAAGTTAACTTATTTTACTTACTTTAAGCAGTTTATTTGCCGCCTTAAACTTACAATTTACAATAAACTTGATGTATTTACAATAAACTTTAATGACAATGATATTGCGAACAGAACATCCTAACCCATAAGACAAAATCTAACGACTGAATTAAAACGTTATGGTTTGCTGCGCAAACGACAATTTCGTCAGAGGCGGGCGCATCGCGCAACTTTTCTTAAGACAACCACGCGGGCGGCATGCCGGTAACACAAAACATTAAAAGTGAGTGGCGTGCGGCATTAGATGGCGCGTCGTATGCTGACACTAATAAAATTGTAGGTTGGTAATTTAATTTTTTGTTTTAGAAGTAAGAATATTTTTGTAACGGTAACCAAATATTTGGCGCCCCTAAAATTTAGCGCCTGCGTGCGGGGCATTCACTGCATACCCGCCAGGAACGGCCCTGATTAGAAGTTTTTATTTTAAAATGACAAAACTTAGCAGTATTTTACAAAAAGTATAAGAAATTACAATAATTAAATTAAACTCATTCTACCACAGTATCTAAGAAATTAAAGAGTTGGAACAAAGACATGATACTATCAATCTACATAAAAGTAAATAAAGCCGCTGAAATACTTAAACAAACTCCTACGTCTTTCATCGAAGATAAACATGGGAACTCGCTTCTGAACATAGAAGATCAAATAGGTAGATGGAGAGAATACGTGGAAGAGATGTTTCAAGACCGAGAGAGGAAGAACATTTACATGCAGGAGGCATCGACTGGACCTTATATCACAAAACAAGAAATTATCAAAGCGGCAAATCAGAACGGAAAAGCTGTTTGGGAACATAATATCCCAATTGAAATAATAAACATATTACTAGACGAACACATCGAAGTAATGGAAGATATATTTAACAAAATATACGAAACAGGCATAATACCAAATGATTGGCTGACATCGGTGTTTATACCACTACCAAAGAAGAGAAACTCCAAGAAATGTGAAGACCATAGGTTTATTAGCCTGATGAATCATATGTTAAAGTTTTTCCTACGACTAATACACAATAGAGTATACAATAAACTAGACGAACACACTGGTCAAACTCAGTTTGGTTTTAAGAATGGGTTTGGAACAAGAGAAGCACTTTTTTCAATACGTGTGCTATTTGAAAGATGTAGAGATGTCGATTCTGATGTATACTTGTGTTTTATGGACTTTCAGAAGGCGTTTGACCTGGTGAAACATGATAAACTAATAGATATTTTAAGGTCATGTAATATGGACGATAAAGACTTAAGGATCATTTTAAACCTCTACCAAGAACAAAAGGCTAAAGTCAGAATAAAAAGCGAAACATCTGGAAAAATCAATATCGAGAAGGGAGTAAGACAGGGATGTGTCCTATCACCTTTGCTGTTCAATGTTTACTCTGAGAAGATATTTCAGAAAGCTTTGGAAGGCACCTCGGATGGTATAATTATAAACGGGCAATGTATAAATAACCTGCGATATGCTAATGACACTGTCATACTGGCAGATAATGCTGAAGCCCTGCAACACTTAATGGGCCGAGTAACGACAGGCTGTAGAGAATTTGGAATGAAATTGAATACAAAGAAGACAAAAACGATGGTCATCAGCAAGCACAAAAACAGAAGGGTAAAGGTCAATGTCGACGGAACAGATCTGGAAAGAGTAACAAGAACAACGTACCTTGGAAGTAATCTTGATGAAACTTGGGACCACTCAGTAGAGATAAGAATACGCCTGGAAAAGGCAGGTACAATGTTTTACAAAATGCAAAAAGTTCTATGCAGCCGCCAGCTGGGCATCCCATTGAGAGCTAGAATACTTAAGTGCTATGTTTTCTCCACCTTGCTCTATGGTGTTGAAGCCTGGACAATGATAGAAGCAACACAAAAAAGAATCCAAGCAGTCGAATTCTGGTGTTACCGTAAAATGCTCAGAATATCCTACATGAGCCATACAACAAATGCGGAAGTCTTGCGGAGGATGAATAAGGAAAGAGAGCTTATGCTTATAATAAAAGAACGGAAAACCCAATATTTTGGTCACATCATAAGAAATCAAAAGTATGAACTGGTCCAACTTATAATCGAAGGCAAAGTCAATAGCAAAAGAGGACCAGGAAGAAGACGCAACTCTTGGC